CTTCTGCATGTCTGTCTCTAACCCTCCTTCCCTGTCTGTCTCTAGCCCTTCCTCCCCTGTATCTGTCCCTTTAACAATGTATTACTCCTCAGTACTGAAAAGATTCAAAGCCCTATTTTAGTCATCATGTATGTGTTGGGGTGGCAATAAATAGCACATTATTGTTATTTATAATTATTCAGCACTTAACTGACTCATAATCCCATATGTGGTCACATAATAGAATATAAGGTTTGTAAACTTTCTGGCATGAATACAAGCTTTCTGAGTATGCAATGACCAAAAACTAATCCAAAATCAGACACATAATAGGCCCCTGGTGCTCCAGCCAGAGCCTGCCTATGCTTCATGTCAGAACTTCACTGTAGCCTTGGCTTAGCACACGTAATATACAAGCTTGAACTGTGCATAGCCACAATCATGCCATGTGCTACCAATGCATGCTGTCTGAAGCATCTGCACTCACATTTGAGACTGCCTTATGTTACGAACGGAAGTGTTCTTACTTCACAGGCAAAGCTTTCTTCTGCTGCAGAAACAAGCAATCAGTATAAACCAGACTCTTCCTATTCTTCTACTGTCCTTCAGCGTGCAGTGTCCCACAGGAACACAGTCTAGAATGCTGGAGTACTTGGGTATGAAAACTGCTGTCTGAGTTGCTGTCTTACAGAACCCAGGACCACCCGCCCAGGAATGGCACCATACACAATGGGCTTGACCCTCTCCTATTGTTCGCCAATTAAAAAATGCCCTATGGCTGGATCTTATAGAGGTGGCTTCTCAATTGAGGCTTCCTCCTTTCAGATAACTCTAGTCTGTGTCATACTGTCAAGCTGACTTTAGACAGCACAGTGTGCATGTTCTCACTGGCACTAATGTCTCTTTGACAGGGGACGGCATCTCACTGTGGTTGTGATGTTCATTTCCATGATAATTATTCATTTTGAACATTTCTTCATACACCTGATGTCTACTGTATGTTTTCTTCTGAGAAATATTTACTTAGGTCTATTGTCCAGTTTTTATTTGGCTCATCTTGGGGTTTGTTTGTTTTGCTAGTGTATTCCTTGTGATTCTAAATATACATCTTGTCAGACATATAGTTTGCAAACATCTCTCATACGAAAGACTGTCATTTCCTTTGTTATATAAAGCTTTCTAATTTGATACAATCCTGTTTGGGTTTGCTTTTGCTTCCTGTGCTTTGGGGGTGTTATCCCCACACCCAAAGAAACAAAAGCTACTGGCAAACTCACAAAAAAGGTAATGTAGGATGTTCAAATGAATTGACTGACTTTCCTACTTTGGCACAAGGCAGTAAGAATGCATGCTATCTGCTAGGCAGAAGCAGGAAGATGATGAGTTCAAGTCAGCAGAAGCTATACATACTTAGAGAGGCCCTGTCTGAAGGAGCAGGGCTAAGAGTGCACCTCAATGAGTCAATTCTCAGCAACTCTAACTCACTACCACAACTATAATGTGTGAGTGTGTATGTGTGTGTGTACACGAGTGTGTACACATGTGCCTGTCTGTCTGTTTCCTTCTCCCCACACCAGAGAAACAAAAATGAAAAACAAGTACTAAATGCTAGGAGAGAAGAGCAGACACTTGTCTCTGGGGGACTGTTTGAGATGCCAGCCCCACTTTACTAAAGAGTGCTCTCGGATTACCAGAAGCTGAGCAGCACTTTGGCCACACCAGTGCCTGAAGCAGCTTCTCATCAGACCTTCTCAGATGATGTGCCTGGCACAGTCATCCTCGGTGACTCACACTGTAAAAGAATGCACCCACTGTCCCACACCCACTTTGACATAATGGCCTCGTGATCATTTCCTGAAAAAGAACCTGCTAGGACATTACTTGGCTTTTGTCAAATGCTTCATTACTTTACGACAACAAACTGCACACTCTAAGCAAGGATCTTTAGTTGCTCCATCTAAAACAGTAATGCGTGTCTTTGAGCTGGCTTCCAGGACATGCCTTCTCCAAGCTGCAGAGCTGCTCTTTCCACCAGACACTTTCCAGGTGTACTAAGTATACACTGCCTCAATCAGTAATCAGCATAACCTGTGTGTGGATTTTTTTAAAACTAAAGTCAGATTTAATGCCAACGTTATCAGAAGCAAACGAGACTCCCCCAAATGTCAGTATTTAATAATAGCAACTGCTCAATAGGTTCTAAGGTTTGAAGAACCAGTTCTGAACAGCAAAAGAACAGAAAAATTGCAACCATGTCACAAGCTATAGTAATTACTGTAATAGCAACTGCAGGCACAGGCCCTGTGAACTCCGAGTGCTATCAGATGTTCTGTGGTGGTACGTATCAGTTCACCTGTCCCCAGGATTCAAATTCCTCTACCTTTCCTGTTTCTGACGTGTGCTCTCTATAGAAAAAAAAACATGGACTGGTGTGACAGGTGCAGCAATGACACAGCTACCAGAGGGAGGTAATGGGGACAGGAGTGTGTGGGTCCTTGCTGAGAAAGGACAGTGCTGGGGCGCTCATGTGGTGGCGCTGCTGCTTGGCTGGTAGGGCAGTTGGGATATAATATCAACACATGGATTTTTGCCAAAGAGAAATAGGTTAGCTTGGGGGCGGATTTTTTGTTTTGTTTTTTTGGTCTGGGTCATTTTTTTCCTTTGTCTAGAAACAGTGTGGGAAAATGTTTTAGAAGGAAAAGGGGATTTGAGTTCTCAATTTAACAATTCCTTGGGCAAGTTATTGAACATCTTGACCTGGATTTTTTTCTCTTCTATTAGTTGAGAACAGCAAATTTCTAGAATAAAGTTCCCAAATAAAGAGAAAAACACATGAAATAAAAGCACTTATGGCATACGTCTTAGTCATTATGACCAAGGCCACTGCTATGAAGGGAAGCTATGACAAGGAACACGGTGGCATATAGGCAGGTGCTGGAGCAGCAGCTCCACATTCAATTAGGCCCTGAGGTGCCTCTGTGCTCACTCCTGTGCTGGCCTCTGTATGACTGCCTCTCAGAGTCCACTCATTGAGTGGAGAGTTTTATTGCTCTTTTCTGTTTTCAGTTAGTTTGGCCACCCAGTGTCATCTTCAGCTCCTTTCTGACATACTATGTCTTTACTCTTTGGAAAACACACCATGGACTTCCTGCTGCAGAACTGAACCTTGGACTGATCTAGCTTGCCCTCCAGCTCCTACCCCGCCCGCAGTGTGAGGCTGTGCTGTCTGGCACTCCTCCTGTTTTGTGTCTAAGGAGACTGACTCATCAGAGGCAGTTCTTGTTCTCATAGAGCTGCTGAGGAAGGTTCGAGCACAAGTCTAACGATTTCCCTATGATTACCCTAACTGTACATTTCTAGTTTACCGGGTTATCATCTGCTCCATTCTCACCTCGTACTTAAGTTATGAGCTTCTCATGTTTGAAAGACAGAGACCACCCAGCTGACATATTACTGTCAGTATTGATTAGGCTGAAGGTCTCACAAGATGTCAGCACTACCTTGGTGAAAACAGAACCTTGTTTTTCCATGTGAGAGTGTATTCATTTAGTAGGTTAGGCATAATGTGATTCTCAACCCTGACAAAGCCACATCTGCTTCCGTCATGCCTCAGATTTAAGGAAAGAAGGAATGGTACATGCCCTGTGACACTAATCGGCCTGTTTGAGGGAAATCTACAATTGCAGCAGTCTGCAAAATCATGTTGCTCTGCAAGGCCAAGGAAGGGCGTGAGCTCTGCAGACAGACAGCATAAGTCAGAGCTCTGTCCTTGACTTCTAAATTCAGGGTAGTTCTGGGTACATGTTTTCTCATCTATAGTAAGGTGACAGTAATGACCCTGTCTCAGAATTACATCAAAGTATAAATGAAAAGTGCCCTAAACCCTGCTTACACTTAGCGGCTGTAACTTCATGTGCCCTGCGGATTCTCACAGAGCTACTGTCTCAGAGGCCCTAGAACAGTCTCTGTGTCAAAACAGTAGCCACAGGGCATCCCTAAAGTTAAGTGTCAGGGGTGTAGGTAGCAACTCTTTATGAATTCTGTGAGATAGATCCCTTTCTAAAGTTGCTTATTAGGTCTCTTTGGTGCTGTTTTTATCCATCTAGCTCAAGGAAGAGGATTCTTGTTTTTAATGCATTAGTTTTTTGTCTGCAAGTATGTATGCATGCCAAGTGCTCACAGAGACCAGAAAAGGGTGTTGAATTTCCTAGAACTGGAGTTACACAGATGGTTGTGAGTCACCATGTGTATACTGAGAACCACACTCAAGTCTTCTACAAGACAAGCAAGCACTCTTATCCACGGAGCCATTCCTTCAGTCCCCATAGACTCTTTTAACTGAAAACAGAAAGGCCCTACTGATGGGATGAGCTGTGCCTTCAGAATCAGAATGTCAAGCACTTTAAATCATTACCAAGAAAGATAGGACAGAAGAGATGGACATATGCTATGGTGGCTTGAATAAAAATGGTCCCCATAGATTCATACAGTACAATACTTAGTCACCAAGGAGTGACACCATTTGAAAGGATTAGGAGGAAGTGTGCCCTTAGTAGAGGAAGTTTGTCACTTGGCAGTGGGGGAAGACCTTAAGGGTTCAAAAGCCCATGCCAAACACAGGGTCTCTTTTGGCCTATAAATTAGGATAAAATTAGGTGGGCTTTTGAAACCTCAAATCTCATCTCTTATCACACGATTCTTCCAAAAAGGCCACACCTACTTTTTACCCTTCTCAGGAAAACCTTTCTTTAGAGACTAACTTATTGCTCCGTTACTTCATAAACACAGGAAAGGTTCAGTGCAGACCAAAGCTACTCCATTTGCTCTAGGACTCAGCATGGTGAATTCCAAGCATCAGAGTTGCATTGGAAGAAGCCTGCTATCCACTCACCTGAGCCCCACGGTCATTGACCAGTTCCACAGACCACCTGCCTTCATATTGAATCCACACAAAGATTCCTCCATCTGCATCACATGTGGCCAGCTTCTGGTATGGCTCATTCCACCTCACCAGTACAACCTAGAAAAATAAGAAGATGTTAACCACAAGAAAGAAAACAACTGGTCAGCTTTAACTTCCATAAAGTATTCAGATCCCAGAACTAAACAGGAAAAGTATGGGAGAGACTGTGGGGGTCTGTGAGGGCCAGGTGAAACCCACATGAGTCCAGACACACCTGGCATCTCCTAGAAGACATCAGACACCTGGCAAACAACGAATTATGTACACTGATATGAGTCCCCACCTGAACCCAGCACCTGCATCTCAGAGGTGTGCAAATATCTCTCATTTGCTGGTCTTGTGCTGTGGAGAAATGGCTCTCACAAAATTCTCATTTTTGAAATGTGGTATTTATTTAAGTACAGGAAAAAAAGGATGAGTCTTAATTTTCTCTCTCTTCTGAACTATCTTATTTCTGAACAGCTCACCGTCTAAAGAGAGCAAATGTCAAAAAATACAGTTGAAAGATTTAAGTAGCTTTTGATTTATCTGAGAGAAAATACGAAGGTATAAGCTTCATGGGGTAATTGAATGAGAACAACTCCCATAGGCTCATGCTTAGTCAACCAGGGCATGGCACTATTTGAAAAGATTAGAAGGACTGTGAGGCATGACCTTTTGAAGTAGGTATGGCCTTGTTAGAGGATGTGTCACTGGAGGTAGGATTTGAGGCTTTAAAAGTCCATCTCAGTCTGTCTGTGTGTGTCTGTCTCTCTCTCTCTCTCTCTCTCTCTCTCTCTCTCTCTCTCTCTCTCTCTCTCTCTCTCTCTCTCTCTGCCTACAAATCAGGTATAGCACTGGTTCCATGTTCCTCGCCATAATGAGGACCATAGACTAAGTCTCTGAAGCCATAAGCAAGCCACAAATTAAATGCTTTCTTTTATAATGGTTGCCTTGGTCATGATGTCTCTTCACGGCAATCAAACAGCTTCTAAAACAGCTTCTAATATTCTGAGTATGGGAACTTCTTTTACAAAATTAATATACACTACTAATTTTTTAATTAGAAAAAACATAATTCTTTCTGAAGCTGGAGAAATTACTCTCATCTTTCTCAATTATAAATAACTTTGAAATCTACAAAGGTAGAAAGTCTGAGGACAGCACGATGGGTCAGTGGGTAAAGGTGCTTATTTCAAGCCTGGCAACTAAAGTTTGATTCCTGCAACCCAAATAAAGGGAGCAAAGAGAGAATCAAGTTCCCAAACCTGCCCTCCGACTTCCACACACGCGTGTGGTAGCATGAGTGCCCTACTCATCCTAGACACACAGAAATAAATCTTTCTAAAAAAACGGAGGAAACCTGTCAGGTGGTTTGTGAGTCTGTGTAATAAACACTTGGCAAGTCTGGGAGCCCCCCAAATAAAAGTGTCAGGAACAGCTATGCAGCAGTGAGTTCCTGCCTAGTCTCAAGAGCCATGAAACCAGTACCTCAAGGTTTACCACAGTGAGTGTCCCTAAGACTCTTCTCTCCTGCCGAGTCCTGGTGACTGGGAGAAACGCAGCGTCATCATTACACCCATGCTCTGAGCCTAACATTCAGGTGGAAGGCATGGATCACTTCCTCCACCCTCAGTGTGTGTAAAGTTACGCTTGGAACCTAGACTACAGGATGTCAGAGGGGCTGTGTGTCACTGGTCAGCAAGATCACTCCAGTTAATCAAGACATGAATACTTCTCTCTCCCCAGCATTGTCTAACAAACTGACTACAAGGTAGTGCCACTATAAATGGTTCCCAGGTTCTAATCTAGGTTCTGTAGTGAAGTAAACCCAAGGGCTAATGAACCTCCTCCAATGCCAGACCCTCTTCATGCCCTGCTGTAATGTTTCTTCCTTAGAGAGCAACAATACACAAACCACATTTAACTTCTCAAAACTATGCAGTTGGGCACACCTGACCTGGAGGTCTTTATATGTGTTTTCAGGGCACAAAAAAATTAAGAGGCCCCAAAGAACAGTCTGACTTCCTCTGCCTTGAGCTGAGCATAGTTTACTTGCCTCAGAAAGTTTTAAGAGGAAAGAGTATTACACCATTTTTCCCTCACTAACAAAAACAAAGGAAGCCACCATGCTGTCATCTTTGGAACACTGGCAACCTTTAAGCTAACCCAGTTGACGGCTTACCGTGCTACAGTCAACTTCCAAGGATGCAGACTCCCATGTACCCCACCCAGCCATGTCCTGTGCTGAGACCTGCTGTGACCAGCTCTGCATGCTCGTCGCTGCCACAATGTGCTGTGACTATAATGCAGGATCTGTGCTGTTGGGAACAGCTTCACAATGACCAGCTATTTTTAGCATATGCTACAATAATATGTAATTGGAAGCTTTAATCATTATTAAATTATATCTTTGAACTTTAAAAGTATTAAAATTATTTCAAACTCCCAAAGCATTTGAACAACAATAAATACTGCCTGTATGTTTAAGATGAACCAAACACTGTTAGATGCTAAAGAAAGAAATTAAGGCATCTTTGGCCCCAAAGAGTTGGCTTATCAAACATATAAAACAGTGCTCTACACAATGCATAGCGGAGGGGATCATCACAGGTATGGGTAAGAGCAGCAAAGCAAGAGTCACTCATGTAAATCTAGTTTGTTTTTTAAATTGATTTAAAAAAAAACCAACAACTTAAGTCTTTAAGTGACATCTGAATGCGTAAGATTCAAAATTTCCTAACAGTTAATAGACAAAGCCAAATTTCTTTACTTCTTTCAGATCTGACAGTGATTTGGTCTGAGTACTGCAATACACAGTACGTGGGTTATAAGTTGGTCTCTAGTTGACGGGCTTTACTCCCAGGATCCTACAACCATTCCAGAATGGCTGCCAAGGAATGGAATGTGATAAACAGGAACACCATACTCATGAATGGTCGGCTTTTAAATTGTTTCCCTAGGTGACCATAGTGAGCATTCATCTACTGTAAGGCTGGCTATAAAATGGATGTTTTTACCAGTAGTGGCCACTGCCATTATAACACATTTAGTTATCATCAAGAAAACACCTCTTCCTGGAAATAACCTACAGTCACAGAATGGCGCAAACATAATACAGTAGAGGCAAAACATATGTTAAATTATCTAATGTTAAAGTAAGATTTATATTTTTAAAAAATATCTAGTCACACACACACACACACACACACACACACACACACACACACACACACTAGTTTTCTGTCTTCACGCACACCAGAACAGGGAATCGGATGGTTGTGAGCCACCATGTAGTTGTTGGGAATTGAACTCAGTACCTCTGGAAGAGCAGTCAGTGCTCTTAACCGCTGAACCATCTCTACTTCCCCAAGATTTCTTATTTTAAGATAACACAGTTGCTACTGTTGAGTAAACAATGCACTCTGACTCAGTTTCATCCTTCTGGAATTCTGAATTGAGATGTGGCAGTAATTGGAAATTTGGTCCTAGCATGCAGCTTCAACCCAAGTTCTAACTGGCACAACTGAGTAGGTGGATAACTCAGAATTGGAAGCAGAGGCCTTTCCATTGCTTCTTCGTTTAAATCTGAAGTAGAATGGCTAATGTTTGCTTGGCTGGTTCCTTCTCATTTCCTCTCCTGTCTGCAAGGCACAGCGGCCCGCCTTATCTCCTAGCAGCTCATTTCCTGTTCTCTGAAGCCTGCCAGCCTACTTGGCAATATTGGGACATACCAGAGTGTTGAGGAATTACCAGACAGGGTCAGCTGGGATTTCAGCTGCCCAGATTGTGAAGTTCGGTGCTATGGATCCACCTAGGCGTCCTAGCCACGGCTTCCTGCCCTCCTAAAGGGAACAGGGTTCATTTAGTGTGTGCACCAAAGGCCTCCCTCAGCTAGGGTGTTAGCTGAAGGCTGCATCCATCTGTTAGGAAAGAGAGTGAGCTCAGTTTTAATTCATGCCTTTGAGTAGTCAGAAAGAAAACCTGACGGCTGTCTCATGTAAGATGCAGCCTGTCATATTATAGCATGTCAGCCAACAAATACTTACTGAAAGTTGTTAAAAATCAGAATAAAAGCACAGGGCAGGACCTCTGGAAGCGTATTTGGCTTCTAAGCACACTGCTTCATTCCCTCTAACTAGAATTACTTCTAGGAAAGCAAAGTGCGTGCCATTCGTGCTGATGCTTGGCTTCCAAGGTAGCGCCCTCTGGATGGCAGGGACGCACACACAGGAAGCAACTCTGCTGAGCAACCACATCACCAACGCTCGGGAGCATCTCCTTCAATCTAAAAAGAACACAATCTGAACAAAAATTAAAAAACAACAACAACAACAGCCTCTATAGCAACCCTGTGATGATCGTCAGCCAACTCATCCAGTTCTATAACTTAAGTGAAGCAACAGCAAGTTGAACTGCACAAGACAAAATAGCTAATATCATGGAAATGGCTATATTAACAAAAGAAATCAGCAGATTCAATGCAATTCCCATCAAAATTCCAATAACATTCTTCACAGAATTTAAAAACAAAAACAACAACAACTACACAGAAACATAAAATCCATCAATATCCAAAGTTCTAATCAGAAAGAATGACCTTAAAGGTATCACATAACCTGATCACAAATTACACCACAGAGCTACAGCAACAAAGGCAGTGTGGGCCTGGTACAGAAACTGGTATGTAGACCAAAAAAAAACCAGAAAGACCCCCCAAATAAATCCCAACAGCCACCTAACTTTTGACAAAGATGTCAAAGACATACACTGGAAAAAAATAAGTCTATTGAACAAACGGCGCTGGCTAAACTTAATATCTAGCTGCAGAATAATAAGGTAGATTCATATCTCTTAACCCTGTACAAGAATCAATTCAAACTCACCAAAGACAGAATGTAAAACCTGAAACGTTGAAACTGCTAGAGAGAACTCCTCAAGATACAGGCATAGGCAAGAACTTTCTGACTAGGACTCCAACAACACAGGAACTAACCCAAAAACTGACAAATGAGAACCCATGAAAGTAAGAAGCTTCAGCATGGTGACCAGAAATGTTATAAGAGTGAACACTTCAG